TTCCCTACATACTAGATGGCACAGAGGAGACATCGTTTGACATACAAGGTATCTTCCAGGGTTTCTACCCAGTTACTTCGTTATTGGTCTAGGGCCAATAATCTCATCACAGCCCTGAGTAATCTCATCAGTTCTTTGTTCGAGCCCTCGCATTGGCAAGCCCTCTGGGCACATTTTGGGCAGGCCGGTAGCCAGGATTGTTTAAATTCGGGGGGCCTTTAAATAAGTCAAGGGGCACCCTCAGAAACCCCAAGCAAGCACCATAAAATAAAATAAAAAATTGAAAGTTGGGGGGCCTGGGCTGGCTGGGGGCCCCAGGCCCCGAGAGGCCCCGCTGTAGCTACAGGCCTGGTTTTGGGTATAACGAGCCCGGCACAACTCCAGGACGGTGCTCGTGTTACCACAGGCGCCCATTAACATGCACAGGGAGCCTCCGGTTTGGAATCAGTCAGTCCAAAGGGATGATGGCTGCATAAAACAGGAGAAGATTGAGAGGAAGGTAATAGATTAAAATGTGGAATTTGCTTCCAGAGGATGTTAGGATGGCCACAGGCTTTCAAATGGCATTTAACAGATACATGGAGGATAAATCGATCAATGGCTACTAGTCCTGGTGACTGAGGGGAACCTCCACGTTCAGAGGCACTGATCCTCTGAATCCCAGAGCCAGGAGGCAACCTCAGGGGAAGGTCTCGGCCTCTCTGCCCTGTTGTCGGCCCTCCAGAGGAGCTGGTTGGCTGCTGTGCGAAAGCAAATGCAGGGCCAAAAGCCAAACTGAAATATAAACTAATTGTACATAAAAATAAATAAATAAAAATAATTGTATTTCTTACAAAGACGTTAAAAGCATATCAGGGCCCAGCAGAAGCCTTATAATATAGTAAAAAGTTACATATGTCCAAAAGAAAAGAATAGTGATCTAATGTGTTCTGACCCAATTGGGTCTTTTTCAGCGGGGTTGGGGGGGGGGAATGGGGACTAGATGACCCTGGAAGTCCCTTCCAACTCTGTGATTCTATGATTCTAAGGTAAAATAAACTCCTATTAAAATCAAAAGACAGTACACAAGTAGATATATGACCAAAACCGGAGTGCTGTGAAGGAAGAAAATAATATTTCAATAGCAATTTAAAATGCTGTGTCTAATAATGATATATATTATTGGGGTGAAGCCAAATGTATTGCACTTACTCCAAAAAAGAAATCAAAAGACAGAAGAGAAATATTTCACGTGAGGCCTCCCAGGATCCAGCCTTGTGTGTCAAATGAAGACGCACAGGAGTCGAATGATGTTGCTCTTGTGTGTCTAGAAAAAAACAACACGGGGAAGTTTTCTAATGTAAACTTTTATCACAGTGTAAAATAAACTCACCTTTGCAGAGTAAAATTCAGTATAAAGAAAATACCTTCCAATGTTGGTCACCTCTGAACGTCTCCTGTCTCGAGAACTCTGGGGTGGCTACGGGCAGGTGCGACTTGATGGCCCCTTCCACCCCCACAGAATATGGGGAGCAAAGGAGAGAGAAGAGCAGGATTTCAAGCGGAGGCTTTGTGCTCCCTTCATGCGCTTTGGGAAGTCTCGTGTCAGGGCGGAAAGTGTTTGTGGATTCTCACGTTGTCCCGCGTCTCCCTCACAGGCAGTGGAACAGCACCATTCCCAAATATCCTGGACCTTCTTTGGGGTGGTGCTGAAGCAGCGGCTGTGCTCAGGTCAGGGGAGGATCCCCCTCCGGGAGGGATGCGGGAAAGAACTCAGGAGGCCCCTGCTTTGAGTAGGGTTGCCAACTCCAGGTTGGGAAATTCCTGGAAATTTGGGGGTGGGGCCTGGGTTTTGAGAAGGGGGAGGTCCCCTGTGGGGCATCATGCCAGGGGGAGTCCACTCCCCAAAGCTGCGGTTTTCTCCAGGAGATTCGATCTCTTCCCACCTGGACGTTTGCAATCCTCTCTTTCTGGCTTTTCTCTGCCTCGCAGCTTCTGGTGCGGAAAGACACCCCGGCCGGCCCCTCGGGAGACTGCGAAGTCCACTCGGTCTCCCGCCCTGTGCAGAGGAGGTCTCTTAATCTATATCCTACCCCCCACCCTTTCTCCCACCACTGGCTTCCCGCAGTGCTCCGACCTCCAGCCCTAAACTTCAATATTCAGTTTCCTAACGTCCATTCCTTCACACAGGTAACAATTCTTTAAACATACAGGTAATTAAAATATATTCATATCAATTTTCAATAGTTGTCCAAACAAAACAAATTATCTTTCACATCTCGTGTTTTTTCCAAATATTCTTTCAGATCCTTCCAGTCCTCAAAAAAGTCTTCTGCCTCCGCGTCCTTAAGTTTTCGAGTCAATTTGTCCATTTCTACTAAGAATAATAGCTTTCTTAACCAATCGTTAATTTCTGGTACCTGATCTTGCTTCCAGTATTGGGCATATATCATTCTTGCAGCTGTAATCATATACCACATTAAAGTTCGCTTCGCCACATTAACTTCTTCCATTTTTAACCCCAGCAAAAGAATTTCTGGCTCTTTTTTAAATTTACATTTTGTAATCTTTTCCATTTCTGCGTAAATCTCAGCCCAAAAGCCCTTTATCTTGACTGACCGGTTACGGATCAGCAGGGGAGTAGCTGCGGGCAGGTTGAAAGTGCGGATATTTATCGGTATTTTACTGGCGTTCCTTGCGGTCAACTTTTCTTGCAGGGACTGAACCCAAGGCGGGTGATGCAGGGCGAGTCAGGACCATCCACTGATTCAAGAGAGGAGAGATCGAAGGAACAAGTGGCAATGGGAGGAGGGGGGGGGGACACTCCGGGAGGGCAGCCCAGGGGGGCAGGATGACTCCCGAGGAGCCCCACTGAGCCGCAGAGGGCGTCGCTGGAGGCAGCCGGGCTGGAGACCGGTCCGCCCGCCTGGGTCTGGGAATGGGGAAAGAGGAGAAGGATTTTCATTCGTGTGTCCAGCGCTGCAAGAGTTAAAGGGACGAAGCTATTTGGTAGAGAGACCGAGTGAGCTGGGGGGG